GTGTGTGTGTGTGTGTGTGAGAGAGAGAGTGAGTGAGTGAGAGAGGCACACAGATTTTACCTTCTCATAGAAAAAACAGTCAATCGCTGTTGAAGTGACAACGGCCAACGTCCTAGTGATGACAGAACAATCATACACCGGAGACAAAACACTGTAAAGCTAACGGTTATAGAGGAGAAGAGGCTGAAAGTACGAACCCTGTGGGAATGTAGTGATGAGTGATGAGCCTCAGTTTGTTGTCTTCCTGCCAGAAATGATACAACAGCAGAGGAAACCAGACGATCACGGCTGTCGGGCGAATAATCACAGCCAAGGCCACCAGGGCCAAGTACTTCTTACTGGAAAACAGCAGCGTGTATATAAAACACCCCACAGAGATCATCAGGGTAAATAAAAAGTACGTTTCGCTTCTGTGTAATTCAACAGGAGAGACTTTTGTGCACAGCTTTGCTTTAAAACTGCCGGCAATCAGTTTAGATGGAGGTTATTATTTATAACTCTGATCAAGCTACATTTCAGATGTTTATTTTGGTCTCTGGTTATGTGGAGTGATGGGGAGGGCTCAGACTGATGGGGAGTCGGGTGTGGCCTGTTTTGGTTTTAATTTGTCGTTTATTTAAAGCATAGCTGAGGTTACAGTTTACACTACTGTGAAATGAAAAGTGTAAGTTCACTTCAAGGATACTTTCTGATATGTATTATTGTGTGTGATTTTTTTCTCTTGTTTTTAATGTATTTTTATTGACTTTTTAATTCAGTTTTTTTTCTACTTTTAACTTTTTCTGATTTTTTTCCCCCCTTTTTTATTTATTTCATGTTTCTTAAATGTATTTTAGAATAAATTCTATTTAAGATCAAGACCTGCTGTGTGTTTTGGACCCGGGCAGAGGAAAGTAAGAAAGAGCCAGAGTGGTGATGGTGGCCTCCATGCTGTTGGTCAGAGTCCTGGTGCAGCAGAACCACGTAAACCAGGAGCACATGTGACAGAAGAACTGGAGGTGAAAGACAAGTGAGGATTAGGTATGAAAACTGCAGAGCACTGAAGCCGTTTTTACTATTATTATTATTATTATGCTTAAACCGCAGTGTGAATTGAACAAAATGCAGGTTTCCATCTTCCATCTTTAAAATAATCCCAAGCACAGTCACCATGCAAAACAGTCTGCTTATATTCACTCAAATCTTTCATTATCTGCATACATCCACCTACTGTCCATCTTGCAACATCCGGATTTTCCAGCGTTTGAAGCAGGAAGAAGAATTTCACGTCAGCAAACGAAGCCAGAAGCGACTGAAGAATTCGCGGAAGCCAAATCTGAAGAGCCAGACAAGCTTATAGAAACTTCGTGACTACAGGAAATCGTTCAAATGCTCATTAAAAAAAGATTACTGAGAGAAAATAATAAAGAAACTTGCCAGCAGCTGAACCGAGTCGTAGCTGATGAACTGTAAGATCTTATATAAGAATGCAAAGAGAAGTGGATATGAGAATCCTCTTATTCCCGCCTTCCATTCCCAGGTCAGATACCCATAAGTTACTGTGTTAAGGTTATAACAGGATAGAATAACAATGGCATAAAGTTCCTTTTGCGATTTAAAACAGTAAACAGTCACTTCATGTATCTCTGCTGGGAACCATAAACATAAACAGGGGGTTTGCAGATTTCAGTTTAGTTTTTCATTTTCTTAATGTTTAACTGGTGGAATTGTATCAGGGGCAACAATTAGGAAGTTCAGAAAAGCACAAAAAAGTAGAGCTCAACAGTCTAACCAAATTTGCAATCACTAGCAACTTTTCAACTGTTAAAGCAAATATTTAATCAGCGAATCACAGGCCAGCAACTCAACTGCAATTAGACATGGTGACATGATCAAGACACCTGCTGAATCTGAGCATCACATTGGGGAAGGAAGGTGATTTAAGTGACTTTGAACACAGCAAATTTGCTTAAAAATATTAAATAAAAGTAAATGAATGAATAAATGTGCACGTATCCACTGTCCCCTCTGTGACGGGTGTCTCCCAAAAAGGATATTTGAAGACCATCCTATGGGAGACCTCCAGAGACTGCCAGTACTCATCCGGGACGAAGCTGGTTTGAACCAGGAGGCAGTTAATCAGTCTGAACACGACACAAAACACGGTCACGCTCAGCACACCTGTGGAGGTCAGACAAATGAGCACATTTGAGCAGCTGCGGTGAACATCTGTTTTATTTCTCTTTGTGATAAATCTCAGAGCCCCACCGATGTTCAGGGGACTCTCCTCCTGCCTGGAGTACAGCTGGGATTTACGTCTCCTCAGCTTCACGTCCTCCACTTTGCTCCCAAACTTCAGACGTGAGCGCAGATTCTCCATCTTCACATAAACCTCTTGCGGGCATAGCTCACCTCACCTGTCCCCGGATGTGTTGCAGCAGGTAAGTTCGCTCCTCACACAATCAAAAAGTTAACATATACGATCAGTTTTAAAAGTGAAGAAAAACTGAGCTCCAGGCCTGCCGACAGGGACGAGCGAGCTTCGGGTTTATTTAACAAGCATATTAGACTGTTACATCTCCAAAAAGTCTTCATAAATGTGAGTTAACTTCAGTTAGCTAAATGAACTATGGAGCGCTTCCGCAATCATGTCTACTTCCGGTGAAATGTTCTCCCCCGCCTTCAAAATAAAAGCTCCTTTATTTATTTTGTCATCCTGTTGTTTTAAGGTTGCATATATTATCCATTCACAGATGCTCAACTGGATTTAGATTAGGAGAATTTGGAGGCGAAGTCAACACCACACACTCATTGTTTTGCTTTGTGGCAGACTTCAGCCATTAGGGAATGCAGTTTCCATGGAAGGGTGTACATGGTCTGCAACAATACTTATGTGGGTTTTCCAGCAAAACATTGTCTAAAGCATCATGCTGCCACCACCAACTTGCCTTCTCCCCATAGTGCATCCTGATGCCTGGTTTTCACCAGATAAAACATGGACACACCTGCCCATCCACGTGATGTAAAATAAAACATGATTCATTTAAACAGGTGATTGCCCCATGGTCCAGTTTGTTGTTGGTGCTTTTGGTGGTAGACGGGAATCAGACTGGGGAATCAGATTGATCTGTAATGCACAGGGGTGTTCTGACACCTCTGTAGCTCGTCAGAGAGCCTTGGTTGCCCATGCCTCTGTCACTAGTTCACTACTGTTCCTTCCCTGGACTACTTTCAGATACTGACCACCAGAGATGTGCAGCAATGTGTTACAAGTACAATTAATGCAATTACATTTTTTTTCAAGTAACGAGTAAAGTAAGGGATTACTATTGCAAAAAACTAATTAGATTACTCTTACCTTCCCATGAGCATGCTGTGTTACTGCATTACTAAACCATTTTGTTTGTGAGTGTGACAATGACATACGAATGTGCGACGTCCATGGTAACAACAGAAGTGTGTAGATCAACAGTCGATAATATAGAGTGTGGGAGACAGTATGACAATACTGCATTTAAAGCTTGGAAGTACTAACATTACTTTGAGTTTGATTCTGTAAAAAGTGACAAAAACATTAGCGTCCACTGTACACTCTGTGTGGGAAGAAAATGTGTTTCTACAGTGTAAAAATTAAACTTGAGCAAGCACCCAGCAAACCGACATGGCAATGTGAAATTCACAGACAAGGCCCCGGATCCCCCCGCTGACATGACTGCTGTGGCACCGGACAAAGGTCAGATGGCTCCACTCCTGCTAGAGAGATGAAAATAGATTTAAAAGCGACAGGACTTAATGCAGCAGAATCTTTGATTGTATTTATTTTGCTGTGTTTTACTTGCATCTATTTGAAAGAGTGAGTATAACCACAAAAAATAATTTTCTTTTATATGCCAGAATATCCATCCATCCATCCATCTTCATCCGCTTTGTCCGGGGCCGGGTCGCTCTTCGACCCCAGAATATGCAGGCATATATAAGTCGAAGAGCAATGCATATAATTAAATTTTTGTTTGAATCAATATTTATAAAGTTAAAATATTAAAACTTACCAAACAACATTGAAAAAGAGAATTTTTCAATTGATTCAAAATTATATGATGGATTATGCCAAAAAATAGAATTGGGCTTAAAGGTCTATTATTATTATTATTATTATTATTATTATTATTATTATTATTATTATTATTATTATTATTATTATGATGTCATATCTTACATTGTGTCATATTTTTAAGAAAAATATTCCTTTGAAACTCAAGCCCTGACAGGAAGTAAAAAACAAAACAAAACAACAACTTCACCTGCTCATGTGTCCCATAATATTAGCTTAGGTATTATGTCAAAATATGTTTGCTTTTTCGGTGGGTTTTTTGTTTGTGTTTGTTTGTGTGTGTGTGTGAGCAAGTAACTCTACGCTCCTGTAGGTGGTGCAGTGCAGTTTTCTTCTCAGCGTAGAAGAAGAATGTCATCCTGCTGTAACTGACTGTCCTGCTTGTTCTTTCTTCTGTTTTTTTATCTCCTCGGGTTTTTATCTTTGTGCGTCTGCTCCGCAGTTACAAATACATCGATCAAAAGGCTTCCTCGGTGAGCTATGAAAGTTACAAATAATTTTTAAATAAAAAATTTTTAAATTTCAAATGTTCCCAGCTAGAAGGTGAACACACTGTGAAGCTAGCGATCGGCCTCTTCTATTATCCGATATGGATTTTTCAAAATAATAGTATACATATAGTTAGTTTTCCAGAGGAAAAAAAAGCACTGAGCGGTGGTGCAAACGAATTTGCTAAGACCTAAAAAGACTTTTCACTTTCCTCACATTTTTGTGCCTTTGTGGTAAAGAGATGAGTGATTTCACTACTGTTTTCACATGTTTCAAAGCTGTGTGCTGGACTGACTTGAGCATTTAAAGTGTCTTATAACTCTTTTGTTGTTCTTTTAGGTTCACTATTGGGAAATCCTAATTTTTTAAAAGAATAATAAATCATGTTTCGAAGAAGACTGCCTTTCACACAGTTAGCCTTTGCCACAATGCTTGGAGTTGCCGGTGGAATTTACATCTACAGACCTTATTTCGAGACTGTGCCAAAGACATCCGGAGAGCAGATCCAGGACAAGCCAAAGAAAGAGAATGAACTGGACTGAAGGAGTTCGAGAAGGCAGGAGGCTGCTGGACTGGAGGCCAAACAAAAAGACAAGATCACCATGGATTAAGTCATACTGATTCCTGCTGTTTGTGATTATAAATTTACAGAATAAATATTTAATAATTTCATGTTCTCATATCTGTTTCAGAATGACTTGTAACAAAATTAGTTACTCATCAGTTTCTTAAAAAGAAAAGTCTTTTCCTTACACTCTAACAGTTGTCTGTAGGAGGTATCTCTCATATGAGTAAATGCTGTTACCCATGAGACTGTGAGCCCATAAAGCTTAGACATAACTTAAATTGATCAAACATTACTAAAAGCACTGTAACAGCCCTCTAGTTGTCCTTAGTTGCCCTTGCTGAGTGTTATAAAGTGCCACATTCAAGTGTAGACATCTGCAAAGAGAAAATGAGGTTTGTGGTTCTCAGAAGCCTGAAAACAGGTCACATTTTGTTCTGCCACATGAAATACATTTGTGTCTCTTCATGGAATAAATGAACTAACAATGCAACTATATAAAAAAATATATATACATTTGTAATTCATTCAATTATCATTAATTATAAGCACTATATAAACAAAACCATGGTTGAAGGGAGACCTCGAGTGGAATAACCTCTGATATCTGATAGGCCCCCATGGCGTTCCTCACAAAATTGTGTTGTGATATCAGTGCAGTGTGCCCAGATCAATTTTTTTTGTAAAAAAAAAAAAAAAACTCAACACAGGTGCCTATTTGAACTACACCAGGTCTGTCAAAGATGCAGTTCTAGACTTTTCCCATTTCCTGTGCTTCTAACAGAAAACCACAAAGAAACACAAAAATGACTGTTTTTTTTAAACATCTAAACAATTAAGTGATCAGAACTATGTAATTACTTCCCCCAAATGTAATAATATATAGCCTACACAGAGTTTTAAAAAGGTTTTACCATTTTATCAACTAACATGTGCTTCATAGCTTCAGACAAGTGATTTCGTATAGAATTACTCATTCAGCAATCATTTTCAGGGGACCAGCTACATTATGAATACATATTGCCAACATAGAAGTGGTTACAATGTTTTCACCATTTACAGAAATAAAAACTATTCACCCCTAAGAATTGCATCTTTCAGGGATTGAACTCAAGAGTGTCACTGACAGCACTACACTGTTCCAATCCAAAGACTGGGTAGGGTCCTCATCATGCTCTCTTCTGTATACTTTGAGTCATAAGATAGAACCATGACTTAAATGTGTAGTTGAGCTAGGTATTTATCTATCTATATCTAACAGTAATCACAGAATTCTTACTTTTGTTTTACAGAATGTCAGAATTTTAATTTTTAAAAAAGGCAGAATCCTGACATTAATCCCAGAATTCTGACTAAAAATTTAGATCTCAGAATCCTGAGATTATTGTCAGAATTATAATAAAGAAAAGTCAGAATTCGTAATTAATGTCAGAAAAATTATTTTAAAAAAATCAGGATTCTCATGTAAAAAGTCTGACTTTCTGTTGGTTTTTTAATATCCTGCATTACATATACTTATGTACCATGCCCCCCTGCCTGTTGTTCGTGGGACCCCTTTGTGCCCGCTACTTTAAAAAATCCTGGAAACGCCCCTGCGCTGAATATCGCGTAATTAAAAAGTGCCTCAAAACGAGCACATGGCGTAGTTACAGTTTGCATTGGCACGGTTATCACTCCGCCGTATGTAGTTATTAGAAAATGTGACGTTTCCTGAGGAGGTATCGTGTGTCAGTTGAAGCAGTGCGGTCTGGTCCGGCTGTGTGTTGTAACTGCCATTTCCTTCAGCTGACGTTAGCCGTGAGGAGGAGCTGTTTCTCAGCACGACCACACCGACCGAGTTACCACGGCTGCTCACTGCTGATGAGGCTGCTCTCATGTCGACTAAAAGGCCAGCGGCGACGGACAAAGTAAAACTTTCATTTCCCAACTTTCCCTAAAGTCTTCAGGGGCCACTTTTTTTAGCCACATTTTTTAAGACGCGACAAAGCGCCCAGCAGCAACGCCCCGCGGCGGGTGAGTATACTCCAGGAAATATAAATCGAAGAAACCAGCCTGTAGCATCTGTCTGCAGTTAGCAAGAAAACTTTTACCTCGCTCGAATATGTTGCTTTGGGACTGCTTGTGTTTGTGTGTGGTTAAAGTAAAGGAGCGCTGGCGTGGGGAAACGTTTTAGCACCTGCTTTATCCTCTCCTCAAATAGCCAGATAGAGCTCGTAGCTTTCTCTACACTTGCTCGATAATTGAGCAGACTGTTGAAACGTGTGAAACTCTGGCTGTCTCCAGCTCTTATCACACTTCTCTGCCATGCTTAGACCAAACTGGTGGCAGCAGTTTGTTTGACAGAGGAAGCTGCTATGCAGTTCTGCCTTTTTCACAGGATCTATGTTTTTTTTTTTTTTTTTTTTTTATAAATAAGTGATTATTTCTTGCCTAACAAGTCACGTGATCAGAAGTGACACACACGAGGACCAGCTGATGATTATTAGATTCTATCGGCCTGTTTTCGGTTAATCGATTGGAGCGTGGCAATGGGTTTTGTGCGCCTCTGACTGCCTGCTGCTGATAAGTCCTCACAAGGTATTTTAATGACTAGATCGTTGATGCAGGACCTCCATATCCAGTCAAATACATCACTTGTGTAGCACTCTTTTTCTTTTCTTTTTTTTTTTTTAATTATGTTTTTACTTGAGGCACATCCGGATTTTCCCAAGGAGCTGCCTCCTTCTGTTTTGGACAGCTGCCCAGGGTGGGTCTTCCACTTTAGCTTTGACAAATGATTAAAGCTGCTTTTTGTTTGCATGGATGGCAGCCTGACAGGAATGGCCTCTAAATCGCTTCCCATGCATATCAAGGTACAGCCCTGAGATCTTTTAGGGTATATTATACAGCTTTTTTTTAAAGATTTCTTTCTAAACAGCTCTGGACAAGATGTGAAAAAACAAGACTAAATTAAGGTCAAACAACATGGCAGAGGTATGACATGTGTGATAACAAATGTGATAAGAAAGCTATCAGAAAAGTTTTCAATGTTGTCATTTAAGGACCTATTTTAAAGAAACAACATAGATTAGTTAAAGCTGCCGCTTAACAATTTTAAAAACCTATAAAAAAAGCTTTCCACCATCAGTGCTAAGTCTCATCGCAGTTCGTGAAATGGTCTTAACCTCTAATCTGTTTTTGTCTTCCTGGTAACACTTTTCCCACACTTCTTAACATGTCCCCAAATACGATTTTTCCTCTGTCCAGTCTTGCATGTAATGCTGTAATAACAACAACCTCTGCTTAGCTTTTTTTATGTTGACTATATGGAAGCCTGTTTATTGATTTTTTTTTTTTTTCAGTGGCATAATTTTTTTGTCATCTATCAGTCAATCTTTTGAGTTGGGCATGGGGTGGGCGACATAAACGATATACGATAGAAACGATATAAATTTGGCCAATGATAGAGATTTTGACTATACCGCTCTATCGCGATAGCGCATGTTGATGATGTCATCAAGCTGCGCCTGTTTTGGTCGAAAGCATCGCAGCGGCTAAAACCATTATCATCTGCAAATTATGCCGGGCGACAGTCATAGCAAAGAGATGAAGCACTTTTGAAATATGGGGAAAGCCAGAAACTGCGCCTCCTCCACTTCTGTAACATTGATTCATTACTGTTGAATTTTCTCGCAGCTGCCCTATTCCCATGTTGTTGCAGTATATTAATAACTAACCTTGTATTGTGGATGAATAATCGCAGTTGTTCTCCTGACTGAAGTTTGCCCCGTGTATAGCATCCTGCTATGCGATTGCATTTGTCCCTAACCACCAGAATCCCTCACGTTAACTTTTATCGAGTGGAAAAAAAGTTAGCTGTGTCGCTAGCAATCACATAGCACAACATTATATACCAGGTAGTCCAACTTCAGTAACCCTGCAAACGCCACTGCTGTTTAGTTTTCTGTCTTCATTTATGTTGGAAGTGATAGCAGAGCTGTACGTTTTAATTAGTTTCAAAAATCTCTCAGTTCATGCGTACATGTTAGTTTCAAAGTCCAGCTGACTGATGAAAAAGTGACATCTCACCTTCATGAGGACAAACAAACTACTTCTTTGGGACTGTTTCACATTTTTCTATTAGACTGTGTTGTCGATGCAGACAATATAATACATGCACAAACGAGAGTAATTTTGAAGCTAGTGACAGATCATCCTAGCTGATAGAAAGGTGGAATATCAGGTTAGATTAGGAATGCAGGTGTACCACAGATAAAGATGTTCAGATGCAGTTGTTTTAAAGCAAAAGCGTGATGTTCTTTTGTTTGTTTTTTAGCTTCCATTGAGGTAAATTGGTTAAATCTATTTTTTTTTTTTTAGTTCACAGCACCATAAAATATACAAAAATAAATATAGCCTAACACTTAATTTAGGTTATAGAATGGGGTCTCAACATTGGTTTGCTGTGCAATTTAAAGTTTACTAGAACTGTAACAATTAGACAACCAAAAATTATTTAAAAACTATTCAGATAATTAAATATGCTTTTTTTTTCTAAATCTCCTTTCTAAGCTTCCAAATTTTGAATATTAAGCACACCATCAACAAAACAAATGTCATAGTAATCCTCCTTCATTTATAAAATGAAGTTGTTAGTAATGACACCATCCATCTATCGGCCCGTCCAGCCAACCCTGGATGGGTCGCCAGACTGCTACATAAAGGGGCAATTTAAGCACCACCCATTATCCTAACCTGCATGTCACCTTTTGCCCTAATAATGAGATAAATGTACTTAAATCCAGCAACAGGCTTAGTTCCCATCTATGGAGGCATTTCATACCGGCTCCATAGTGTAGTGGTTAACACACTTGTGTTACATGTGACAAGTACAGTTACAAGTTCCCTGGTTTGAGGCACAATTCCAGCCTCAGGAGTCACAAGCTTGTAGTGCCAATCCCAGTCTCGGGGATTAAATGGGAGGGTTTGAGGGTGGAGCCATTAGACAAGTATAACATGAATTACAACTTGTATGTCGTGTCTGCACTATGTGTCTTTACTCTTATTTTAGGTTGTGCAGTGGTTAGTACTGTCACCTCACAGCAAGAAGGGTAGTGGTTCTACTGGCTGTCTG